ATGCTATGCTCATTACTTATTAAGTTTGTCATTCATTCTAATACTTTTGGGGTAAATATTTCACTTATATAAATATATAATTTCGGATATAATATATTTTTGAAGCAATATTTTGCACTATATTTAAGAATCTAGTTCAGACTAAGCTGAACTATAGTGAATGGTTGTGCAGGTTGTTCACTGCACAACCCTAAGGAACATTCACATTGCAGACTGCAGATTTACATATTTATTACAACAAGTTTCTGATAGATGGCAGTAGAGTGCCTTGTTCTAATAAAATTAGTTTTTTGTGACAAATTGCAAATAGGTGGACTTAAAGTTTCCTGAAAAAGGAAACTTTTTCCCTCTAAAATTCATATATTAATTCCCTAACCTCTGATATGATGGTAATAGGAGTTGGGGTTTGGGGGAGATCAGTGGATCTAGAGGAGATGATGACAGTGGAACCCACGTGATGGGATTAGTTTTCTTAAAAAAAAAAATGATACTACAGAACCTGAATCCCATAAGTGCACAAAGAAGTTGTGCACTTGCTGGAGCATACGTCTTGGACTTTGAGCCTCTCTAAAACTAGAAGGAAATAAATGTCTGGTACTGACGCCATATATCCATGGCATTTATCTACAGCAGCCCACGTTGACTGAAACAGATGTAGGTCCTGAGAAGTAGAGGGCTGCTGTAGCCAGCACCTGAACACATGGAAACAGCTTTGGAGTTGGGTAATGGATGACAGCTGGAGGAATTTCCAAATACCTGCTGGAAACAGGGATGTGAAGTGTGATTCTGGTGAGTCCTTGGATGGAACTGAGGAAACGGAAGGAAAGAGGATCCTCGTTATAAAGCGGCAAAGAACTTGGCTGAACTGACCTGTGTTCTAGCTTTTTGTTTTGTTTTGTTTCGTTTTTTTAAGGATAGAACTTGTTAGCCACAAAACGGGATATTTAGCCAAGGAGATTTCTAAGCGATATGTTGAAGGAGCAGCTTGGTTCTTCCTGATGCTTATGGTAAAACTCAAAAGGATAAAGATGAATCAAAGCAGGAATTTTTAAGGAAAAAAAAAAAAAAGAACCAGAACTTGAAGATTCGGGAAATTCTCAGCTTATCCCATATTATGCACAATGAGAAAGGTTTATCTGAAAATAACACTAAAGTGTGTCATTTGATTGAGAGTTGGTGAATCATGTGAGCAGATGTTCTGCCAGTTGGAACTGACGGGATGGAGATGCAACAAAATGAAGGAAGGTGGCTGAACATCTTCGGTTTGAATGAGATGGAAGAGCTACTTGATTATAAGCATGTGCCATTTATTTAAGAAAGAAGAAAACTGTTCCTGAAGGCTACTCAGAGACCATTAGACCTAGCAGAATTTCAACAGGCTGGCCAGTCTCTACCTAGAGCCCTGGGAGCAGCTACTGGGCAGACTCAAGTTTTGCAGAGCTGTGGAAGCCAAACTTTCAGGCACAGCCTACAGCCATGGGGGCAGAAAGCCCACAGAGCCTAAAGACTAGGATGGGAGACATCCTGGGAAGCTCTCCACTTGCTCCAGTACCTCTTCCCCCTAAATTCCTAATTGAAGCCCTAACCTCCAATGTGGTGCTATTTGGGTATACAGCCTTTAGAAGATAATTGGGTTTACTTGGATTCATCAGGGTAGGGCCCTCAGTGATACATAGTTAATTCACTTTGACTAATAATAACATAACTAATAAATTGATCCAATGCATGGAAATATAAGTCCCAGTGAAGTGTAATCTGTTTGAATAATTCAGTAAACTGATGCTTTGAATATATTTTATCCCCATTTGTACTATTTGTATTAATGAATAACTTGTTTAAATGTAAATTTCATCCTTAATTCTAGTTTTCAATTCTATTAAATTTCTGAAGTCGTCAAGTACAATTTCCCATGAACTGTGCAGAACATTTAATAATTCATTTGATTACTATCCGAAAAGCAAGACTTTCAGGGCAAACCCTGCCCAACTCACTGAAAGGAAGATGACTCTGTAAATAATCTAGTTGAGAAAATAAATCAGATTTGCCCTCATTGAGCAATAGTCAAAGAATGGCAGAGGTTGGGGTGGGTAAGGTGGACACTGTGAAGCAAATCTGCCTGGGATTAGCTCCAAACTGAAGACAAAAATGAAAGGAGGCTTTAAAAATGATTTTTCTGGTAAGCCAAGATGAAAACAGACACATTAAGTAGGGGAAGTTGTGTGAACCACCTCTAAACATCCCACATTAATCCCCAAATTTCTTATTCTGAACTAAAAACACCTGGATTGTGTTCTCAGAATGGACTGTGCCTCTGTGTCTCAGCATTGACTACTTTATATTGGGGTGTATTCTGTTTGTGTCTCCCATAGACCGTTGTATTCTTTGGGTTAGAAACAATACCCTCAGCACCTAACATAGACCAGGCATCATTGGAGTTTGTTGCCATAGACTGAACCTCCTTTACCACGTCATCCACAACCCCTCTTCTGTTTTCCTTACTACGTACATCTCATAAAGTACTCGCCACCTTCTGTTAATTATTTTTTTTTCATCTTCTGAATTAGACTGTGAGTCCTTGAGGTGGCAATTCAATCCTGTTCAACTGTGTGTCATAATGCCTTGCTCAGTGTGCAGTTGGGGTTCCTTTAGAATTCATTTTTTACAAAAAATGTAGTGATCAACCTTAAGTATTTCCATATTCCTAAAAATTCGTCTGCTCTAGATGGGGTTGAGAAGCAGGCAGATGGAATAAAATATAAGGCTGGGAAAATATGGGGAACTCATTGTTGGGGGTAATTGATTACAGTCTGCTTTTAAATCTATATTCAAGATAAACTCAGTAAAGAGACCTGGACTTTCAATCTTTGCTTTGCCACCTATGAGTTCTATGACTTTGGTTACCTTACCTACCTGTTCTGTGCCTCAGGTTCCTCATATGAAAAATGAGAACAGTAGTGCTACCTATCTCAGTATCTATCTGCTAGTCTAGAGTAGCAGTCAATCAAAGTCATGCTTTCGTTAGTCTATCAATGAATATGGAAACCATGAAGCAAAATATGTCCTGGGGTAAATGTGGGGAATAAGAAAACCAGAGGATGCTTGATCCTTAATGGAATAGATGGATACACAGGGATCTACTAGGGGGCTATGTGATCATCCAAAGGAATAAAGTGAGGTTTCTGCCCTGGGGGCTGGACAGAATCCGGAAGCCTTGTGCAGGGCAGGGGGCTTCCACTTGTCCCTAGGAAACATTACTTGGTGCTATAGTGACCAAATGGAAGGGAAGATGCCAATTCAAAGCTTGGACAAATAAAAGTGGATTCAACTTGGATGCGAGAGGTAAATATTGGAGAGGTTTCTTAAACAAATCACAGAGACTTTTGAGGATGCCCGTGACCTTGAGAGCCAGGCAGAAGACAGCTCTTAAACACCGAGTTTTACAAGAGCTGAATTTGAGGAAAATATCAAAATGGTAGCAGGGAGCATGGATGAAACAACATCTGTGAAGCTACAGGAACAGAAAGCTACGGAGAGGGCCCTGGGAAGATGGGAGATTTGGGCCAGATCCCATTCTGTCCAGTACACCCCATTGAGTTAATGCCTGTAACTCTATTTTGAGACATGAAGTCTATTTATCTTCATTTTTTATATAGATTAGGAAAATTAGGCAACAATACTAACTCTCACCGGATCACACAGACCCTGAACACCAGAGCCTGCGATAGGAACCAGGCACCACGGCCCCAGAGTTCATCCTTGTGGCCAGCTGTTACACATGGTTTGTTCTCTCTGCTTTGCTTTCCCTGGTAGCTCACGTTACTGTGTTTTCTGTTTCTGAAGGAAGGTAACCCATTCTGTTCTTTTCTCTCTACATCCTCCACACTTAACAAGCCTGGCTGAGGGTAGAGGAGTGGGACATTTTTAGTTTTCAAGGGTTTCCTCTCCCAAATATTCATCTATACTCTTGAGTCCTCTCCATCCTCCTAAGGCTTCAGGATTTTTACTAGCCACTTAGAAAAAAAAAAGAAAAACAACAGAAATATGTATATTTCTTGTTTGTTCACTTCTAAGTTAGTCTGAAATATTAATAGTTTCAGAGCAATCTGTGAAACTCTGAGTGAAAGAGGAAGGGCGGGGCAAAGGAGGAACTTACCATAAAAAATATTGCTTAATATTTCAAAACTACTTAACAGACTGCTGAGTCAACAGTGGCAGTTTTGGAAATAGTTAATTGCTTTCTAAAACAGTCAGGGCTCATTGTTTATTGACTAAACAATAATGATTGGTTGATTTAAGGTGTAAACGGTATTTTTTAAAAAAAATTTTTACTCTAATTTGTTATATATGACCACAGAATTTTGCATTACAATTCATATTACATATATAGAGCACATTTTTCATATCTCTGGTTGCATACAAAGTATATTCATACCATTTGTGTCTTCATACATGTACTTTGGATAATGATCTCGTTCCATAAAAGGTATTTTTAAATATGTTATATCTGTGCTAAAGAAAGAGCAAGACAAAATAATTGGAACATCAAAAACTAGAATTTTGCTTCATTTAAAACTTTTTCCACAGTAAATGCAGTGTAATGCTCTTTAAAGCTGAAAGGATTCAAAAAACCATAATGAGCTCAAAGGTTTCACCAGCATCCTGGTGACTCCAAAGATAATCAATAGTGTTAATGATCACATAAGATGTATTAAGGATCAATAAACTCTAAAATTAAAATAGCCTGACTTGAAATCATTTCAGTTGTAATTAAAATTGCAATTATAAACAACCAAGATGTAATTGAATATTTATGTTGGTTAAATGAACAGATAACTGTATGAAAAGAATAAAAGGCCCAGGCATAAATTATGGTTTGCTTTCTGGTCCTATAATATACTTTTTGAATATTCTAGTCTAAGATAATAAAGTATAGATTTAGAAAGTCTAATTTTGTATTAAAATAAATTCTTTTTTCTATGTATATTTTCCATTAACTGTAGATCTATTAAGTATCAAATTCTGTTTCATGAAGACAATGAAAGGATTCGTTTGGGTGGATCTGATTGTTGAGGTAAATATAGTATGTGAAAATTAATCTTAAAACTAAATTCAAAATTCAAGTTTCCCCAACCTACACTTACTCTCTAGCTAAAAGTTTTTTAACTTTGGGCGTACTTCAAATTGTCTGGGGAACGTTTAAAAATACCATTTACTGAATCCCACCCAGGGCAATTAAATCAGTCTCTGTAGGTGGAGGATTAGTGTTTCTCAGAATCTTCCCAGTGGTTCCAGTGAGCATCCAGGGCTGAGAACCACCACTCTGGGGTGTGAGAATTCAGAGGTGGTGAGATGGTGACTAAATGCTACTTCATTCATTTCTTCATTCACTATGATAATGGGTATATAAAGATCATAAAGTATTTTGAGAAGGTCTAAAGTAGACAGGAAAGTAACACAAAGCTCTCTTTCTACAGAAACGGAGTCTAGTTCAGGGAGAAAATACAGGGAAATGTCATCTTAAAAAATACTGAAATTTAAAAAAATAAAATTTCCTAAATAAAATAAAACTGCCTAAATTGTGGAGGTTATTGATAGTTATTGATAGTTAATTATATAGATAATTGAGAATTCTTGCAGAAATCATTGGAGATTTTTGAACATGATCTGTTATGTTTTGCAAAAAAAAGGGGGATACAGAGAATCAAGTTATATAATTGTTTTGATATTTTTAGATCGAAGTTAAATGAGAGATTACTGACAAAAAATGATAATCCAGAGGCAGTAGATGTTGAGAATACCACTGAAGCAAAATCCAGAGGATTTTAAGTTCAAGACCAGTGGTGAGGATTGAGATCTCCATCTGATACCCAAGCCTGGCTTTCTGGGATTATGGTTTGTATTAGTCTGGTTTTCATCACTATAATGAAATACTCAAAGGAAGCTAAGCTTTTGAAGAACAAGGTTTACTTAGCTCAGGGTTTAGAAGAATGAAAATCCAAAATTCATTAAGTTGGCTCTGGTTAGAGTCTCCTTGGCTCTTAATCACCTCAGGGCGAATGGCAATAGGGGAGTTTGTGTGGAAGAAGAAATCCTAGCATCAAATAGGAAATGAGAGGCTAGGTGGAGCCAGGCTCTGGTGGGCTGTTACCATAACCTTCTAAGAACTAGTAACACCCTGGTAGAAATACCTCAGTCCCTTCTAAGAGCAGGTACCAATGACCCAAGAACCTCCTACTAGGCCCCGCCTCTTAAAGGTCCACCTTGTTTGGCAACACCTCCAAGGCAGGACCTGTGAGATCCACCTAAAGGCACTCAATCAGAGCACCCCCTGAATATCCAAGGATTAGGAAATCTGTGGAGAGAAGAGAGACAGGTATTTGAATGTGTTGGTTTTGGGATGTTGGTGGGATATCAGGTGGATGTCTGGCAGGCCACATGGGGTGAGGTTGTAAGGTCTTTGCTTAGCATCTGGACAGCCATCTTAAGTGACAGCCACCATTTTTAAGAAAAAGTTTCACTTTCCATCCAAGGGCCTTTCTGAGAAAGGCTCACCACTCCCTCACACCAAACCCACCCTTAACTGCCCACATTGGGACCCACCCTGCTCTAATCCCTAAGTCTCCCCCATAGAAGTCTCCAACCCCAAGCCTATGTTGCCTCCCTCTGTCAATGGAGAGATGGCTTTTATTTGTCAGCTTTGACAAATAAACTGTCATGTGGGTCTCTGCCTGGTCTCAGTCTTTCATTTCTCGATTGCCCGGCTCCAGATTCCTCGTTTTCCTTTTGAGGTAAAGCTTTAGGAAAAGCCCCACAGGAACAAAAGCAGGGAGTGGCAGAGAAGCATCTTAGAGAAGGTTAGAAAATTAAAGGAAAGAGAGCGGATCCTTAGGAATTGTGTGCATTCTGAGACAAAAGGGAAAAGACTGTAGAAAGACTGTCAGAGATAAGAGAAGTCAAGGAAGCTGAGAAAGCTGAGTTTAAGATGGAGGTGGTCAATAGTGTCAAAATCAGAAGGAGTTCAGAATTAATCCCGAGGAAAGGCCAAGAGTTTGATAACTAAAGAGACTTTCAACAGACAAGTTTGGACATAGGGAGCCAAACTGAAAGTAGTTGAGGGGTGAACATCAGGCAGTGAAAATGGGCTATTCTTTAAAGAAACATAACCTTTAAAAGAAAAGAAATGACTAGACAGTGATAGATCAGTAGGGCTATAATGTGCTTTTTAATAGTAGGAATAAAATGAATTGCTTCTTTGCAAGAAGCTTGTGGAAAGGAGGGCAGTAGGTTTTTCTTAAAAGATAAAAGAAGTTAGCTAACTGACTAAAACTCATTTGGAAACCATGATCTTCTCAACACATCTTTTCCTTAAAAGAGTCCTTAGATGAGGTTGACTAGTGTGGCTTGCTTAATATTGAATTTCAGTTGGACAGGCAATTCCAATTCATAGTAAAATAAAATGACGAAGCCGATGCTGAAGGAAGTATATTCAAATACTGTTAAGAAGTAAGGAAAAATAAGTAAAACTAAATATTCCATATTTCAATATAGACATTTATAAACACATTACAAAGCAGAATGCAAAAGGAAAAATATATATAATGTTTTTATACACGTGTGTGTGTTATAAAAACATTAAACATCATTCTGGTATAAAATATTCATAAATTTATTTAATGAAATTCAGGTATTAAAATAACAAACAAAATACCAGATAAAAATTGAGGAAATTTAGTTAGCTAAGAAAATTGAAAGGAAAAATCATAGTTTTAGATTTTATAAATTTGTGAGTCAGTCAACGAAGAAAATTTCATTTAATCCATTTTGTTGTAATTTTTATTACTGCTCAAAACACTCTGTCACTTCTGCACTGGTCAAGGAAATGATACTGAGGAAGCTGGAAACTATTTCTATGTATTTTTCTCTTATTCATTCATCTTCAAATAATTCTACTTCTTGTTTGATATTTTTCAGATATTTTATTACCTTTTTTTTTTTACAGGAACTGCAGTCTTTTAAATTATAGCTGTAGTATAAATTTCAATTTTATTTAAATGCTTGAATTTTGTATTTATCATTTTCAATTTTATTTTGTGTTCTTGAGGATATCTACGCAAAGTTACCTCCCTCAATTTCAATGATTATTATTCAAATGACACCAGAGTGGAATTATTCTTAAGATATCATTTTGCAGAGCTATATTGTTTGTTTATTATGTCAGGCTATGACTTCTTTAAGATTGGATGCTGTGTCACTTATCTTTTATATATAAACTGAATAATTAAATAATTGATTTTAATCTTATGCTATAATTTCAGAATATAAAATAAAACAGTATTACATGAACAAAATTACCACAAATTTGTAGTTCAAATTTGTATCACATGGTTGAATGTTGAAAGACCAAAACCCGTATTGAAATCACTAGGTTGCATTATTAAAAATATTAAAGTACTTGTTTTTTACAATAATGGTTGACATTCTTAGTAGGGAGTCTTGTACATGAGGCACTCCACATAAGGTGGTCCAAATTTTACATACTATTTTATAGTAATCATTTAGTTAAAATGACCCTATTGTAAAGTAATAATTTTATTAAGGTTACAAAGTTGTATAAAAGAGAAGCAGTTTGCTTGCCATTTAGTTTTTTTTTCTTTTGCATTAAATTGAGTTGCCAGATGGTCATAGGAAAGCATATTAATATTGTCTAATTGTGTTTTTATTCTTTGAATCATTTCTGAGATTTAAAAAAAATGATCAATTAACATGCTGTATTATGTTTTATTTGGAGAAAATTATTTGTTTAATTACTTTGCCTTTGAAACATTTGCATTTAATATATACGACAGTAAATTATATATATCTAAAATCAATTCTATTTCAAGAGACCCCACTTTTAATAATTTAATATGATGCTTTTGGTACAGAAAACTACACAGAAAGTTTGCATTCTGTAATTTCATTTGCAGAGTTTTAAATTTTATTTATTATGCTTCTATTTTCATTTTTTTGACATTTATCTATTCATGTATCAACCAACACACACACATAAATGCAGGTGGTCTAACTCTACACTTTTTAAGTTTTATTATGCCAGAATAACATAGTTTCCCTTTGTCTCTTTCCAAATATCTTCCATTCTTCAAAATACTGTCTAAAGCCTACCTGTGCTCTCCAATTTCTCTGACTACTATGGCTAGGATTGTGTATATTTTGAAAGATAATTGTAGAGATCTCCTCATAAATTCAGCATGCTTTATATATATTAAGCTCTATTTCTTCATTTAATGATAAAATTAAGCCAAAAATTCTTATGAGGAAATAGAAATTTAGATACCCTAAGCTATACATTCCATATTTTCTTCAAATGTTTTATTTAAAACCTTGCCGTCATTAGAGCTTTCATTTTCACTTTGTAACTAATCCTGACATCTCTTTAATTTGTTATTTTCTCTTCTTTTTGGGGGGATATCTTCACTCTTTAATACTTATATTATTAATTTATTAAATATGTACTTCCTCCTGTTAGTTTTTGAATTATATATTGTATAAATATTTTCATTTAATTTTTATATCAACAATCAACTAAATTGTAAAGTTATTGAGAACTGGGTGTTTTTTGAATCAATCTTCATTTATTTGATTTCTAATCACCTTTTGCAAGAAGTAGTAAATGAAATGGAAATAAGCAAAAAAAATCATACTACATCTCTTACATTTTATTTATTTTTAAAACATTTTTAAAATTAAATTATTCATTTATCCTAATTTGTTATACATGATGGCAGAATGCAATACATTTCATATTACACATATAGAGCACAATTTTTCGAGTCACTGATTGTACACAAAGTATTTTTACACCATTTGTGTCTTTATACATGTACTTAAGGTAATGATGTCTAACTCATTCCACCATCATTCCTACCCCTTTGCTCCCTCCTTTCCCCTCCCTCCCCTTTTCCCAATCTAAAGTTCTTACATTTTATATGGGAAAGTGATAAGATTTAAAATAAATGTATTTATGATAATGTTGAATATATACTGGATTTTTCCAGATAACTTGTGTTTGTATTTATACATAAAGAAAGACTTTAATGGTAGTGAAATTTAATAACTTAATTTTGATTAGGCAGTTAAAACTTTTCAAGTCCATGTGACTGTATTTTCTTATGAACGTGATAACTTGGGAGAATATGTGACTGCCATTGGAATCCTTGTTCATCTACAGAGAAACTGACATTCAGAGAAATATAATTTGACCATAATGATTTGACCATTATTACTTAATTGGTTAGGGGCACAGTACAAATAAAATCTAGAGTTGTCTAATCCATTGTGTCCCAAAATATTTGTTTCCTACCCACCCCAATATGTTGCCAATCATTATTTTTTAATAATAAAACTAAATTAGTAGAACAAATTTAAATAGGTTAAGCAAAGCACAAGTCCAAATTTGTTATTATTAGATTCAGCAGCTATCAAATTTCTTTAGTACATTGTTATAAGAGTTCCTAAATTGTTATCCTCAATGTGCTTATCATTTTGGATGGGTAATAAATAACACATGGACCAGCTCCAGTACCTGGGTCACACTTGGAGTATTGTCTGTGTCAATCACAGCATAGCTCTTTCTAAGAGAATCATCCTCATCCAGAATGTCTGACATCCAAATTCTACTGTTCACTCACAGAATCTCAGTCCTTCACCATTTAGAGCTAATGGACGAGGACCAAAGAATAGTCTGGCCAGCAATCTATGAACTTTGTAGCCTGGCTGGAAAACATGAACTGAGCCCATCTCTGGATTTAGATGTAATTATGTGAAGAAAGATTTTTCTATAGCACTCCAAGATTTTGCACATGTTTAAAATAAGAGCTAGCAGAAAAGTAATCCGTGAAAGCTGGATGTGTCAGGGCAGAAAGAGGAGTATGTGCAATGTAGCTGAGTCATATTAACAGTGGATCACAAAAGATTAAAGAACTGCTGATACTGAAGTACATAAAGCTGCTGCGACTTTATAATTACCTCTAATTCCAGTAGCCCTAAGCCCCAGGCATGAAACAGCATTTTCTTTGAATGTCCTAAGATATAGATCCTGTACTTCTTGCAATGTACATATATATCCTAGCTGGCACAAATGAGCCTCTGAATTATTCAAGAAACTTAGCTTAACCAAGACTTAGTCCCAGGCTTTTCCCAGTGTATCAAATAAACTTATTTCAGAACCAATTGATGCCATTGTGAAATACAAGTTTCATAGTGGCATCTATGTCTTCCACATCTCTGTAATGAAATTGCAAAAGCTAACTGGTTTGGTCTGGTGGAACTACCTGTTTGCTACTAAAAATCTATCTCCTATCTACCTACCTAGTATTTTTATTTCTTTATTTCCAACTCCCCCCAAATATTGATTTCAACATTTTACATAATTAATTACAGTCTGATTTTGCTCAAGGAGAGAATCCCTTAAATTTTATACCATATTATCACAATAATAGAAGAGCTTCCATAATTCAACTGTCCTCTGTGTGTTCCCTGATTTGCAGAACTCTTTAGACCCAAACCCCACTATTTAATGGACCAGATATGTGTTTTAAGCTGAACTAATCCAGACACTCATCATGTAATAGTGGCTGCTGGAATCACCCCAGAAGTTAAAGGTGCAGGTATGAGATTGGGTGCACTGTGATTTCAAAACACTTTTTATTGCTTTGATTTTTTTTCTTTTAAATGTTAAGTGTTTTATGATTTTTAACTCCTTGGCTGTATTAAAAGAACATATTTGTTTTGTTGTAAAAAAAGTGTCTTTTATTAAAAAAAATGGAAACATAGCTTCTTTTCCTTTATTCTCTAGTATATTCTAAATTTTAAATTACTGCTAAATTAAATGGTTTGTGTCAGATGTTAACAATATGGGGTCTTAGATTAAAACAAGCTCCATGTAATCTTATTGAGCCAGTAGGTCATAGAAATAGGAGAAAATGTGTTTGAATCACAGGAGAGAAGGGATGTTGGATGGATCTGTAAAACACTTTCTGTTGTAGTATCAGCTGATTGATAGCAGTGATTCTCAGAAGGGTTCCAACATTATGCCTTTTAAAAGCTGGAGATTAGTGCAACCATGGTGAACAGCACAGTGACATTCTGGCAAAGAAAAAGGGTCAGGGCTGGCAAAATGTGGCAGGTGTCAAAATAAAAGGTTAGGCTCTGTGCCTGGGGACCCATCTGTCAGATAGAAGTATGATAAGGCAATTAATGTATTTATTTATGTTGCTCATGACAAACCGTGTATTCCATAAAAATGATCAATTTAAACATTCTTAACTGTTCTTTTGAAATTAGAATTAATATAAAAATAAAATGCTCAAGATAAAACGCCAGATCTAATAATAAAATTGGTTGTTTGTATAATCAAATAGAGTTAACTTTGGAAAATTATAGTAGTTTGCATGGAAGAATTAAAACAATGAAATAAAACATCTTGACAAAATGGAGTTTGAATTAAGACATACATACAAAATTGATGTTTATGTTGCAAGATAATTTTGGCTGCACTCCTCATTAATTCAACATGCTTTATATTTATTAAACTAGATTTCATAATTTAATAATAAAATCAAGGCAAAAATTATGAGAAAATAAATTTAGACACTCAGGATCTATGTTCCACCTTTTCTTTAAATGTTTTGTTCACAAACTTGTCATCATTAGAGCTCTCATTTTCACTTTGTGACTGATCCTGACTCTTCTTTAACATATTTATGATTTATTTAGCTTTTTTTTTTTACTACTTCTGCTTTACAATCTGTTTAAACTAGAATGTTTGGATTTAATATTCATTAGTGATCTAATTTTTTCAAATAAAATAAACTCTTATACGCTTCAAAATGTCATGTTAATAAAAATTTAATACAGGTTAATAAAAATTTAACCCTGAATTGTGAAATAAATGTGGTTTACTGCAGTCCAAAGTCTTATGCAACAACAGATCCTGCCCATACTGTACACTGAATAAACACAAAAGCTCTTAATTGCTATGATTCAGTAAGTGAAGCGTACATCTTATACCAACACCGACATTTGAAGAGGAATAACTTGAACATCAACCGTACACTGTACTAAACAGAGGAAAAGTCAAGTTTTTTAATTGTAGGATGAAAGCCAGCGTGACTATGTTATCACCAAGTTGCATGTTCTGGCTGCACAGTGATGAAATTTAACAAATGAAGTCATTGCAGGAAAGGGGTTCGTCTGGCTTTGGAAGGAGAAGAGGTCTTATGTTCAGTAGATTCATTTTCTTTATGTTGAGGTAGCATTTGTGCCATCATCACCACTTCCCATTTGTTAAAAGGACTTTAGTTAAACTTTGAGTCAACGGCTTTTCTCCCCAGGGTTCCCTTCCAGTCTGAAACATATTAGTCTTAACTTACCTTCCATTAGTCACATGAAGCTTTCCCGGGGACAACGTTAGAGGGGGAGTCAATGAAGGGAAAGTCATTGAAAACACACAAAGCACAAACTTTGTTACATGTTCTAATTAGTAGTTTGATACATGATTTACAATCTGTACCCGAGGTTTAATTAGAATTAAGCACTATTTAAAATTAAATTCACTCTTTCCTTCATTTCCTGATTCAAAGTTGCATATTGTTCCTATTGCTGGTTTAATTTCATTTGAACTTCAATCTTCTAAATTAGCTCTGTTTCCTCCCTGTTTATTTTCATTTGTCTGGATGTACTTGAAAATTCATGAGGCAAAATTTAAAATTTCCTTACTCACTGTTCTGTATGACTCTTTAAAAACATAGGACATGCTAGATAATAAAAGTAATGATTTCAACAGAAAATCAAGGTGCCACTCATTTTGCCATGGAGCCGTAAAAATGACACATCAAACAAAAGGTAAGATTTTTTTTTAACTTCTTGACATGGAGAATTACCCATTAAAAATTAGTTATTTCATAGCATATATTGTATCTTTATTTGGGAAGAAAACATGCAATAGGATTCAGTTTATAAAAAGTAGCATCAATTTAAATTCTAATTTAATTTTTTCCAGAAGCATATGAGAAAATTTTTGCTGGGCATCCACTCACTTCAGTTCAGCCATTTGAAGAAATTTTGAAAATTCTGATGCATTTTAAAACTCTTCTTTTGCTCTGGCATTGTTCAAATTTGCCTTGATCTATCATCACAGGTATGCTATCATGTCTCCCTTAACCAATTAAATTCACACAAAATACTTTATTTTCAGGCTTTACATATATAAGATTACTTTGGAAAAGTAATCTCTCATTCGTCATTTTTTTTTTGCAAACCATAATAATAGTAAACGACGTGAATAACTTAATCATTTTAACAAATGATAAAAATCATTTGTAAGATATGTTGTATAAAGGATACAGGTGCAATTTTATTTCTTCTTGTGGAAAAATGCAGTTACTTTCAAAAGTTCTATTGTTTTCAAATGGTTGGAATGTGCTTCCACCAATCATCAAATGATATTTTTCATCAGCATCAAATAATTTTGAATTTCCTTCATTCTCGAGGCATCATCCTGTCAAGCACTTTGTATTTGTTTCTTCTATAGTGTACCAAGTTTTTATGTTTTGAATTGATCAACCACTCATACAATACAAGGTAAGTACTATATTATTACCATTTCCAGATGAGGATGGTTGGCACAGAGAGGGTAAATAATTCTTAAAATGTGAACCTCTCTCATTTTTGTAACAGAATTTCTTTGTTCACATTGCTCAAGCCAGAATGCGGAAGAACCACGTTGAAAGTATGAAAAGTGTTCTGAAAGGTAAGAAAAATAAATAAATAAGAGCAAAAAGCAAACAGTCTGAAATCACAAAGAAATTTGTCAAGGGCCTAGCATGAGGGTTTTAAGATGAATGTGGCAATGAAACACAAATAAGAAGCATGACTAGGAAACCATGCAGAAGCTCAAGGTAGAAAGGAAAGGAAAAATGATGGAGACGTGTTGAAATAAGCATAAAAGGCTTTTTGGATCCTTAGCATGAAAACTTGCACAATTTTGAGATAATATTTCCTGTATTAATTTTTGATACAGAATACAGAAGCACTTATGTTTTTAGAAGTAAAAATGTTACAGCCGGGCATGGTGGCACACACCTGAAATCCCAGCAGCTGGGGAGGATTGCAAGTTCAAAGACAGCCTTAGCAATGGGAGGCGCTAAGCAACTCAGTGAGACCCTATCTCTAAATAAAATACAAAATAGGGCTGGGATGTGGCTCAGTGGTTGAGTGCCTCTGAGTTCATTCCCTGGTACCAAAAAAAAAAAAAAAAAAGATGTTACTGGCATTCGTGATTTTTGTGATTTGTCAAGTGAATAGCTCAGTATATCAGGAGGGCATTGTTGAATGATGGTTAGGGGGTGGACTTGTAGACAGCTAGGAGTTCCACTCCTGGCTCTCCTCCTCCTGTTATGTTGGCAAGGGCGTGTCAGAGCACCTTCCACTGAATTACAGTAGCTGACTACTGCATCTATTTCCAAAACCACATTCAGTTATGTCACACTGATAGATTGAAATCAGAAAAGATGACATTATTTATACCATCACAATTGGCAAAACCTAAATCAGACAAATCAGGGCTATATTCCTCATGTGCTAGCTCACCAGCCCACCGCTGGACCCTGGGCAAATTGTCTAGCCTTTATGAGCTTTAGTTATTTTCATCTGAAAAGAAAAATAGATACAATAGATCGGTATAAGATTCTGCAGACCTTTCAATCGATGACATATTTCACGATTCCTGCTACATAGTAAATATCAATAATGGTACCACTCTAGTAATTTAATTTAGCCTATTATACAGAGCATCAAACAATTTTGCATTTTGAACACACTAGAAAGCATTTCAATTAGTTCATTGAAATTCTAGGAGAGTAGGATTTGTAAAATTATTTTACTAACTTTACAAATGAAATGGTTTCTCCTAAATATTATTAGCATTTTTAAAAGAAGATAAACACTTACTAATATTTACATAGTGAATTTCTTCTGTATTATTGGGTTAGAAAAACTTTTCAGTTTCCTACAGTGACTCACATATATATAGAAGCTTAAAGGCACCTCTTGGAGGGTTTTAACCCACTCCCCAAATTACATTAAGTCCATGGCTTCAGTTCTTCAAAACTTCTTGATAAGTTAATATGAGGTCTGATGCTGGCTATATGCCCTGCTGTTCAGAAAGCTCTAATAGAATATTCTAAGCCAGAGGCCACTGTGTCTATCATGATGACAGGCAGTATGTATAACTTGAAACTTTAAAGGTAGGCACTGCAGGAAATAAGGAATTTAAGCAAAGATTAAACAGTCTATAAATCACCCTGCTTAGTTGCCTAGTTAAAAACTCTTTCATCTAGGTAGTCTTCAATATGGATTATTTGTTCTTAAGATCCTTGTTCATTTCTGGTTTTGGAATATAATTTTTTTACAATATTTAAAAATAAGTTGTACATACACTTTTTCCACTACCATTTACAAAAGGCGAAGATCATTTTATTGTCAAAAATATTTTAAAGTCTATTTAAATAATTTGGGGATATTGAAAGAAATTACTGAAGTTAAATTAAATTCTAAATCATTTTTTTACTTCAAAAACTATGATAGATTGTTGCAAAGATAAAAACAACTCTTCCTTTCCTTGTATGCAAACACCTTTGCAACATGACTTTGCTGTTCCTTTCATCAAGAACTAAAGTTTATTTCACTTCCCCTTCAGTCTGAAATTTGCCAATCAACTTGCATTGCCCAGTATGACATTAGCAAACCTGATGAAAACACTGGTTTGACAAACACAAGCACAGTAGAACTTGCTGTCTTTGTTGCCCTGGGGTCACTGTGTGAAGAAACATGAGCTAGTTACAGAGAGAGAATGTTGGATGGAGATGAGTCAGGTTGGTTGTGGCACCCTGGACCAAACACCAGATGCATGTCTGAAGTCATTCTGGACCATTCAGCCTTAGATGACCTGTGGGCTGACTGGATAACCAATTTATCACCCACATTCCCAGGAGAAAAAAAATGCAATAATTGTTTTAAACCAGGGGTCAGCAGTGTCCAAGGGCCAAATCCAGACTATGGGATGTTTATGGAAATAAAATTTTATTGGAACACAGCCACATTCATTATTTAATGTATTGTCTAAGGCAACTTTCAACTGCAGTGGCAGAGTTGAATAGTTGCAACAGAGACCCTGTTTGAGAAGACTAAAATAGGTACTGTTTTCCTCTTTACAGTAAAAGTTTTGCTAACTCTTGCATTAGGCCTCTAAGATTTGGGATGATTTATTAAGCAGCAATAAATAAATTGCACAAGCTTGTTTACCAAAGGGGAATATGTCTCATTTCTTATTAAACCAAAAAAATTACTATGCTCATGAAAAAATATGAAGTTTTTTCAGAGTCAATAATCTTTCCCATGACAAAAGCATTACTATTCAATTTGCATTTATAAAGTACAGTTATGTAGACTGCTGATCCTACACCAATTTATCCATCCTTCCTTTTTCTATAGTAATACAACTGGTGCTGGGTATGTAACCCTCCTTTCAGGAAGTGATTTCTGAACTGCTGTGTTACATCTGTGTGACCATAAGGCTATGTTTTCACTTCTGAAATATTAAGGGAAGTAATGTGTGCATTCATTGGTCTTTCTCCATGTTCTCCTTCCTCCCCATTAACTGAATCCTATGGCAACCTGACTTTCCATTCAGATAAGTGGAAATTCCCATAGAAAGAAGGAGTACATGAAACTCATCTAAGTAACTTACTGGAACCTTGTAACTTAAAAACAATAGGAAAGGCTGGAGTTGTAGCTCAGTGGTAGAGCATTTGTTCAGCATGTGTGAGGCACTGGGTTCGATCCTCAATACCACGTAAAAATAAAGAAATAAAATAAAGCTATTGTGTTCATCTACAACTAAAAATACATTAAAAACAAAACCAAATAAACAAACAAAAAAAGAAAAAAACAAAAGGAAGCAAAGACTCCCCCAAACTTGGAATATCCATCTTGGACTATTAATATGAAAAAGAAAACAGGGGCATAGATTTATCACTGGGTATCTTTGTACAGTAGGTAGTCTTTTATTTGCTCAAGATTGGACTCTAATACTTGAGATGATTAACTCTCTGGTAACTGAGAAATCTAAACATGAGGTTTTTTTCCTTCAAGAGTACTCCACTATTAATGTTACCCCCCAAAATTTAATAACATAGAAAAATAGTCATTAGTTAGGATACCCTATCTAATGCAATGATTTTATGCAATATGTCTTGGCACAAAAATTATTTAGTTGGTAAAACATTGGATGTGGGGTCAAAACTCTAAAGTACTTTGATAAACTTTGTCCCAATTTTGCTGAGTTGGCCAGAGGCTAGTCACTTACAGTTACTGTGATTATCTTTTCCTAGATAAAAATATATAACTCCTGATAGGCAAAGAAGGAAGTTTGAACACTGACCTTTCTAATTCCTACTTCTCCCAAGTAAGAGGGTTGCAATAACTGGTGCTTGCCCTAGGCATGTGTCATTTTAGTCCCAAGAAACGCTTATATACCAACATAGTGCCTTAGGTAATGTAATGGGGGAAATAATCAAGGTAAATCTTTGGCATTTGGACAGTAGGGATAGTTTTCCCTCGAAAAGACACATATCACCTCCCTCTTAAGGTAATTAGGAAAATATTAGGAAAGCGAGTTTTATTTATATTCTGGATACCTACTCAATGATGGCAGCCTATTTAAGTGCCAATAGAAGGAATCTGTTAAGCATTCAAATTTGAGTACTCTCCCCACTCACCCTGAGGTTTTGAGGGACTAGGGTAGATCCCTATAACCTCATAGATAATATCACCATAGCCGATTTTAAGACAGTGATCTTTCTTTGGGAAATCACAGCAACAGCAGAAATCAAATTCAGGTACAAAAGTCTCAGTTCCAGGAAATGTAGACATCTAGGTAAGGAAAATAAATCTGGGAACAAAAGACTTACAGTTTCCAAATGGAAATCTTTTAGGTTTTAAAATAGTATTTTATGACCAATTTGTTGATGAATAAGGAATTATTCCTAAACAAAACTATAAAAATAAAGTTGGCTTGCTTTACCTGTGAGCGTCCTGCTCAGCCTTTAGTGACTAGTTTAAAAGTAACTCCTTTGGAAGTGATACTAGGTGTCCCTGTTCTGTACTCTTCCTCCATAATTTCTGCATCAGAGCAAGCAGCACGGTGAGTTTAGTTATCTAATTGCCTGTCTTCCCTGCTGCAATAAATGCTCCGTAAGGAAAGAAATTGTCTCTTTCTTGCTCACCAAAATATTCCCAGAGCTTATTAGGATGCCAGGAATACACCAGATGCTTAAGAAATATTTGTCGAAGAAATGAAACTCTGAAAGGAAAATAGCCAGTTGATTTTCCCAACATAGGGAATGGGCATGAACAGTAATGAGACCAGGTGAAACTGCCTGCAGGATGTTCTTCCATCAAGCAGTTAACGGTGTAAGCAGCACAGACCCAGAGGTGCATTCTGAAGATGGGCCATGTCCCCTTACATTATGTTAATTTGGAGGAAAGATGAGAAAAATGGTAGATTTTAGTGCAGGGCCAAGGACTAGAGATAAAAGCCCTTATTCAGACTGATTCCCTTGCAAAGACATACATAGCTTTGGGGAAGGGATTTGAACCACTTTGATTTTCTGTTCTGGAATATAATTGCTGTGGTTATTTTTCTATGTTATTAAATATTCTTTTAGGTAACATTAAGAATAGAGTACTCGTGGGGAACAGAGCTGGTGTTTAGATTTTCCAATTACCAGGGAAGTAATCTTCCCAGGTATTAGAGTCCAAACTTCAGCAAATAAAATCACAGTTGAATTAAAATAGAATCCAGAGCTCCATGATTATGTTTGAAATGCATGTAAAATATGTTATTTGCCTGCTTTCAAATGTGGGCTTGGGGGTTTTGTATATTTCAAAAGTGAGAGAGGATATAAAAAAAGTCAAAGACTTTAGAGGAGAAACTAAAAAGATCTTATGAAACAGTTTCCAAGGTAGGCTACAAAAGGTCAGTCAGTCCTAGCCAGCATCCAGACAGCTGCATGAAGTGGGGAAAGCAACTTACTCTCTCTTTACCTGGATCTCATTAGTAAAATTAGGATGAAATAATTTATAAGGTTGCTATTAGCTTTAAAACTTTTATGAGTTCAGAGCCTTTAAAAAGATTGTGTCTTCAGCAGAAAACACCACTGTGAATTTTTTTTTCAATATTCCTTTTATCTATAATGGAAGCAAGTTAAAAATAATAGGCCTAATGTTCACAGATCCATTAAATATTTACTGGTCACTCTCTTGATGACCATTTTGATTCAATACATAGTATATATAAATCATCAATATTTTCAAATTCAAAAATGCACAGGAAGGAATTTTATAGCTTCTGTGATAGCTTTGAAGTAAACTGTGATTTACCTCCTTGTTTGTGTAAGTGTTTTTGTGCTTATCATTTATCAGTAAGCCCAGGACTCTAAGTACAATATTATATATGCATGCTAAGTACTTAGTTTATCATTATAATTTTCCTCTTGAATTGCAAATTGTGTAATGTACATCATTTAACTTTTCTAGGATTCCCCTGTTTATTTTTAGGATGTTAATGTCCAGAAACAATTGAGAAAAAAAAGTACTTCTTCATCCATGTGGTATGCTAATACTGAAAATAAAATAAGTGCTGTTCCCCTTGAGGGAAATGTAATTAAAGATAAAGGGGAAAGATATAGAGAATAATGATATTTGTTTATACATAAGTAATGTGATAATACTGTTTTATAATTCTGTGCATTTTTCTTATTTTACTGAATTCTATGTTCCCTCTACTACTTTCTCTTTTTTTTCATAAAATGTCATCATTTATTTGTTTATTTACTCACATATTGCCATCTTCATTATTTGTAGTTTATCCAAATATTCCTTGAATGGTTCTCTGTACATGTTTCACAGTAAAAAGTTGCTGACTGATTATCCCTTTCAATGCTGCTCCCAACACCTGCTTCCCAATGAGAAGATCCCTTCTGTAACTTACACACAAGAAGCATTTCCACCTCCTCTTCTTGTGCAGAGGATGTATGATGCAGTTGTGTTCACCGAGATGTGAGACAACATCTTCTTGGAGCATTTGTCCATACTCTGCAGACCAAAGGAAGAGCTGCCTTTTCATCCAACTTTTGAGCAACCTCTGTGAAGCTACCTGAAGCTACCATAGCCATCTTCCAAGGCTGGGAAAGTAACTGACACACTGAGGAGAACAGAAAAAGAAGATGGAAAAACCTGGGATTTTGGTGAAATTTCATGAGCTTATGAATTAACCAATTCCTTACAATCTTGACTCTATAGAAGAATTCTTGGCATGTGACATAGTACATTTCCTTTATTGTTTAAGCCACCTTTATTTTGTCTTTTGTTTCTTCTAGTTGAAACCAGTACACTCATCATTATGCTATGCATACATATTAACACTATCTTCTTGTGGATCCTGCTTAGCCTAAATGTTAGATAAGAATAAACTAACAAAGCAACCCTTTTCCATCTGAAATAGAAGGTCACAGATCTCAGCACTACCCCAGTCACGTAATAATAATAATGGCTACAGTTTACAATTAGTAAGTACTTACAATGTATGAAAAGAACATTATGTTGTGGACTTTATATATTTTGTTTAATCTACACTAAATATCTCGAAACTGGAGTTATATTAACACTTTTTAAAATGGAAAAAATGTGGCAGAGAGATAATAAGCAAACCTGTGGAGGTCCCACAATTAATTAGTGGGTACATTCAATGTCTCTTTAGAACCAGCTAGCAATCATGATATTATTGTTTAATTCAAGTGTATATTTGAGATATAGGTTATATGTGGACCTTTATTTAGCTGCATATAGGATTAAAGTGAACAGAGCAACATATCATATTCATGCTCCCTAAGATTTCCATTCATACTGTAGCTCTGTGTACTGACTATAATAGTAGTTTGTATGATGGAGTGGGATATACAAGTATACATATATGTATATGTATGTGGGATACAAATATGTGTAGGACATATATATATATATATATATATATATATGTAAATACATACCTATATATGTAGGACATATATATATCATTATATATATATTTATATATGTATCATTTATATATATGTATATCATTCCTCTGCACTGAGAAAATTTTACCACTAGTACTTTCATAATACCATCAAAAACACTAAACAAAATTAAACAAAACATGCTATATATAGAGAGATAGATAGATCTATATCTATATCTATATATAGAGAGAGAGAAGAAAAATGGAAAAACAGACAATTAAGTTGAATCAAAATTTGTCATTTTCAAAATTATTATTGTTTAGACTGAGAATCTAAAGATGGAATGGTTAAGTATGATCTCTAGACCAAATATAGAGGTCTATAGTAAATAAAATGTAATGAAATTGTTTAAACTTACTTTTCCTAAACAATTTTATCAGGAACCCATGATGCTTTCCTTCTCCAATTAGTGGATATGTTCTTTAAAACTGGTTCTAAAATTTCACATATTGTTTGTTATATAATTTTGATGCATAAAATAATACATGTAATTTTCATAAGAATAATGAAACATGAAAAGAAACCAGCCAGAAAGTAGAAAATTACCAATACCACTGAGGCTGTGTCGATGCCCTTCCAAAAATCTCATCCTCCCGCTGTTCCCAAAAGGCAACCAGTATTCTGAATGTTGGATTTATTTGTTCTTTAAAATAGTTTTTCTCATAAATGTATCTATCTCACCCAGGTGTGATCGCACATGCCAAGTGATTCAGGAGGCTGAGGCAGGAGGATCACAAATCCAAATAGCCTCAGCAACTTAATGAGACCCTACTCTCAAAATTGAAAATAAGGAAAAGAAGAGCTATGGATATACCTCAGTGTTAGACTATCCCTGAGTACAATCTCTAGTACTCAAAAAAAAAATAATAAAAATGAAAACAAATGTATCTGTTGCTGGATTTTGAACTTCATAATATTGCATCATAGTCTGTAATCTGAAACGTGTATTTGTCAGTCAAGCCAGTGTTTCTTATATTCATCATGTTACACATAATTGTAATGTGTTCATTTTCATGGCTACATAATGTTCCTCAGAGTAGCTATACAACAACCTTTTTTTCAGTCATCTATTAAAAGATGTTTTGGTTTCTTTCTAAGTATTTAAAAATTGCTACCAGAAAAATACATTAGACATATTTAACATATTTCTAGTAGAAATTATGCTTGTTTCCAAATCTTTCTCTGATTCATATATAAAAACATTGAAAAAAGGTTAATGAAAGTCTATCACTATGATTGGGGACTGGTCTCTTGGGTGTTGCTCTTTCAGTCAACTTGTGGTTTGTATTTTGAAGATGTTTTATTAGTTGCAAATAACTTAAGAATAAGTAAGAATTATTAAGGCTTTCTGGTAAGTTGTTTTGTATAATTATGTTTGCCCATCTTATTACATATATTTTTTATCAGTCTACTCTATTAATAGGAGTGCACACATTTTAAAATATTAGATATTTTAGTAGTTTCCATACTTCTTTCAATGTTCCATGCCCTTAGGTTTTAGTTGCAGCCATTTAGAACAGCCAGTCTTCAATCTCTTATTTGCTGGTCTTGTACTCTGTCTTGCATGAGCCTCCCTAGAAAACAAATATGTAGGTGAATTCAGTGCTCTATCTTCTTGGAATATAATCTCAGAGAACCAAAAGTCATGGAAAAACAGCTGATTATTATGTTCCTGAGCTTTCCACTGATTTGCACCATGGATGGCTTGATGGTTTCAGGAAGTCTTCAGAGAGGATCAGTGAAACTATGGTGATTAAGAATAGTCAAAATGAAGGAAAGGTCAGCCATGTACTTGCTGGTCATTTCTGTTTCCTGTCTTTTAGTAGCTTAGTCAGCCTTTCATTGCTGTGAACAAACCACCTGACAAGATCAACTTAGAGGAGGAAAAGTTTATTTTGGCTTTCAGTTTGCAGTCAGCTGACCCCATTGCTCTGGGCCCAAGGTGAGGCAAAAGAAAAGGTGTGGCAGAGGAAGGCAGCCAGGACATGACAACCAGAAAACAGAAACCCCAAAGGAATGGCCCCTGGCTGACCTCCTCCAGTATCACCTAGTGATCATACAGTGATTATGTTAAGGCTCTCCTAATCTAATCATTCACTTCTGGGCTTTCTTGCATGAGCTTTGGGGGAAACACTCCTTATTTATACCATATCAGGGATCATAGACTATCCATGAAGTATCAGAATCTTTGGTTTGATGGGTTTGCTGGCCACCCCAGGTGTATGCCAGGCAGGCCAGAGCCCCTGTGTGTTCCATCTTAATGTCAGTAGGTGCAGCGTGGAGGTTTTGAAGTTTGTGGTGATGGAGATGGCAGTACCAGGGCAACGTCCAAGGCTTCATAACTGTGGAAGGCTGAAGTCTTTGCTAGAGATTTTCTTCTCCACACTCCTCCATCACCAAAGAGGCAAAGGGCTAATACCTGACATTGTAGATGGTTGTGAGTAGAACTCAGGTCATCTGAGCCCAGCAATCCATCCTAGATCCATGACAGATCTGCTTGCCCTCCACCTCATTTTACTACAAGCACCTTCACTTTTCTCTGAGAGTTGGAGTGTGAGTCCACTCTTTTTCAGGAGGTCACCAGTGGCAGCAAAGCAAAAAACTTCAAAATGTCTGCAAAACATAGTCATAGTCCTTACTGCTGAAGCTGGTCTAGGGCTCTAATTAAAAGATTTGAGTAGACATAGAGACAGTAGAATGAATTGGACATAACGTACTTATGTTCATGTATGACTACATGACCAGTGTAACGCCACATCATCTACAACCATAAGAATGGGAAGTGACACTCCACTTCTGTATGATATGTCAAAATACAGTCTACTGTTATATATAACTAAAAAGCAAATAAACACTTTTTAAAAAAAGAAGTAGAGAGAAAGAAGAAGAAAGGAGAAGGAGAGACAGAAATTCAGAGCAAGGAAAAGATGGCATTGTATTAGGAGCTAGGTTTGAATAAAGATTCAGAAATCATACCATCTCTAGGTTTTTCTTATTTCCATCCCCCTCCCACTAACCAGATGTCAGACATTTTCCTCCTACTATGGGATTGATTTTTTGAACATTTACCCTTTGTGAACACTTTTTAGAATAAAAAATAATATATTTTTTAACCTCTCCCAAATACACTGAGAATGAATTTGTGATATAGTTTTTAAAATTGATTCTTACTTATGGGAGGCAAATCATACAGCAATTAGATAATGAAGTTTCTCACAGTTCTATGTGAAATTCCATGGGGCTATAAGTTAGGCTACTTTACAAATGTAAAAAGTAAAGAGAAAGCCAGAAAGTTGATGTTCAAAACTCTGTATAAAGTGTATATTTAATAGAAAAAATACTTTGATCTGTTAATCAAGAAATATTTTCTAGGTACAACTTGATAGGATGGAAGTCGATATTCAAAGAAGAAAAGGCAGGTAAATGAAACTTAAAACAAGTGAAAGGGATTTGGGATTGCATTGTATTTTAAGATACACACATACATGTGGAAATTCTGAAACTTTGGGAAGGAACAGAGAAAATATGGAAACAGGGGAAAGGGACAAAAGAAACAAAGCCAGTAGAGAATTTTGTGAAGAGTACTGCTGGCACTCTCCTGATGAACATCCTCACTACCATAAGGTCAAGGCATGGTAGAGAGGAACATCAGCTACCTGAACTTTCTCCCAGAGCCCAGTTATCTGAAAACACGCTAATTATACTAATAATAGATCTGTGCCCCGAAGGATATCAGGAAAGCAATAAGAATTGGTATGTCTAAAATTAATTTTAAGCATAATTGGTAGGTAATATAAAAGTGCTAGTACAATTTGAAAAATAGTGGCCATGTAATCGATATGGTTCTTCTCTGCTGTTTTCTGCCCAGTTCCTTCGTGCCTTGGGGTTTGCTTCCATGCTTAAGGAGGGGCTCTGAGTGCAGTTTCTAGGCAGGTGTTTGGATGATAAGCCTTGTCACAGGGGTGGAAGGAAGTCATTCAGAGTGTGGAATATAAAGTAAAAAAATAGTAAAAAGTGAGGACCTGGGGCTGGGGCTGGGGCTCAGGGCTAGGGCACTCGCTTAGCATGTGCGAGGCCCTGGTTTCCAACATCAGCACCACATAAAAATAAATAAATAAAATAAAGGTATTGGCCAACTACAACTAAAAAAATAAATATTAAAAAAAATCAGGACCCAAGGGCAGCCTGGAATCAAGCCAAGCAATCGGCCAGCAAGTGCACCTGAGGGTACAAGACCAGGAAGCTGGACCCTGCAGTCAGTCACAGCCCTGCAGGATTCACCTCCATCCTGCAGGTAGCAGCCAGGCCTGGCAATACCCAATTCTTCAAAAAATTTAAAGGATTTTTTTCTTTTCTTCTTTTACTGAAAAAAAAGGCAATTCCAGTGATTTTTCTTATCCTTACATGCTGACAACAAGAGTTTTTAACTGTAGCCTCATCTCTTCTGAATTCTAGGTCATATTCCCATTTTGTCATCTTAGAAGCAGTTTAGAGGGAAAGTTACAGCCATTATCCGATAGCCCAAAAAATGTCTTCTTCTCTTCTATTTTAAATCCAGAGGATTCTACATCACCATTACCAAGAATTCCAAGGCAGAATTATGTTGAGAACTCCCTCCTTCACGTCCCTGCATTTAGCTCGCCCATCAGAGATGCCTCATGACCACCTCTCAGTTCATTTCACCATGTCTTTATTCCTGTCATTCCTGCTGACCTCATATTCCAGGCACATGTTATCTTTAATGTTAAAATTTGTTTCCATACTTAGTCGTTCTCAATCCAGTCCATTCTCCATATCGAGTGTCTTCTTTCTATGATACCAATATGGTTGGGACAAATTCTGCCTGCAAAGTTTGGATGTGTATCATTTTCTTTATGGAAGATAACTGAGGGTAAAAGGTCACTTAAATAGCATGGATAAAATTGCACATTAAAATAAACCCATGAGACTATATCAAATCCTATGAAAATAAGAGTGATGGAGTATTGCCCTGCTAGATGTAAAATCTATTTTAAAATTAACCTGTAATAAAAAATGAGATACTGAACAAAACTGAAAATATGAAACTATATAATGTAATAAAAGCCTTTATATGGAAAATGATTAAAATTTATTAAAGTACATATTCAAACAGCAGGGAAGAAGTATGAAGTACTGTAATGACCACTACTTAGTAATTATATAACATCACTTTAAATTCACGTAATGCACAAAGGAAATTATGTAAGAATAAAGCAGTTAATTATTTAACATTTATGGAATACAGCAGGCTATCAAGTCTTTGGTGGAATAATTTTCTAAGGAATTCTTTTTAATTTTTTTGCAACTTAAGTAAGCTTTTTATTGATGTATATAACATAAAATGAAAGCACAAAGTCATAAATCCCTCTTGAAAATTTTTTACAGTCTTTGTTCCTGTGTGCCTAGCTCCCAGACTGAGGACTAGAACATTATTGGTACCCCAGAAGCACTCTTCATGACCTCCCCAAGGAATTAAAACCTCAAAGCTACTATCCTAACTTCTAGAAGCATAGATATATTTTTCTTTTTTTTTGAACTTTATGTAATATAATAGTGCAGCATTTATGATTTTTGCCTGGCTTCTTTGGGGATTATCCCTCTTGGTGCAGACAATAATAGCTTATTTTCAAATCTTTATAGTACCAAATTATATTAATTGATTTTATTTATGGGGTTTGAATCATTAGGCATCCTCAAAACTTTTTATTCAGTACTATTATCAAATTATCATTTTCCCCCTTATGTCAAATTAATGCTATATTCTGACTTTTAATCTCTTCATACAAAATAATTTGATTTCCTTCTTAATCTTTACTGTTTTAATTTTAAAATCTTGATGTACATGTCTTCCAAATCTTATTTTCTGTATAGCATGAAGCCACTGTCAAAAATGAGCACTAGTCCATATGGATATTCAATGGACTACTAATATTTATTCCCCAAGGCCCTGTGATGTCACATTTGTCTTATGGTCACATGAATGTGGGGCAGTTTTTGGATTCTCATCTGTTCCTTTGGTCCATTTGCCTATTATTTCAACAATACTATGCAGTGGTAATCACCACAGCTTGACAATAAGATATGACAACTAGTAATAAAAGTCATTATGCTTTTTACTTCTCCAAGACTTCTCTATTAAAACCTTTGCATTTCTGTTCTCATTTTAAAATTTCAATTTCCACCAGAAGACCTCATCTGTACCTAGCTTGCTAAAATATTTTTAATGAATAGTTTTTATTTTTTAAATTTATTGATATGATTCTATGTATTTTCTCTTTTTACTATTAATGACATTTTATTTTTGAACTCTAAAAAAACCCATTGCAATGCATAGAATGAAATAAACTCATTTTAATATACTGCTCCATTTGGTTTGCTGATATTTTATTCAGGACTTTTTGTCACTTATTTTTATGAAAGAGGTTGATTTGCAATTTTGATTTTTTTTTTGCAATATTATTGCCAGATTTTAGTAGCAAGCTTCTGAGAACCTCATAAAAAATGTTTTTCTTTTTCGTTCCATAGAGGAATTATATAGGATTGCTGTCATTTATTTCTAAATATTTTAAAGAATTGCCTGGTGAATTCAACTTGAGAAGATGTTTCTTTGTGGAGATTTTTGAATCAATTTTTAATATAGATATAGTGTCATTCAAATATCTACATGTTCTTCTGAAAACTTTGGTAAATTTTGTTTTTATTTTCCCAAGGAATTTGTCATATCACCTTAACTATCAAACTTAGTTGCATAATGTCAAATATTTGTACAAAGTCAAGTATTTTAAAATATTTTTCTTTATATTCTTAATATCAGTAGAACCTATAGTGATATCCTTATATTTGTTATTGATATTGGTGAGTTTTCTGTTGATGTGATCAGCCCTGTTAGTGATTAGTAATTCTGTTATTCAAAACAACAACAAAAAAATAACTTTGTGCTTTGTTGAATTTCTTTGCATTTTTATTGGTTTCTACTTTTAATTTTATTATTTTATTCAATCGACTGTTTTGTGTTTAATGTTCCATTCATCATGCAAGTTTCTTGAGACGGAAATTTAGATGTTGGTTACAAGACAGTTTGAATTTTCTAATATAAGAATTTAAGGCCATAAGTATGTTTCTGCATTCCAAAAGTTCTGATATGCTGCATTGTTTTAGCATATAAGTCTAGCTTCCCTTGTGAATTTCTTTTCTTCTTGCATTATTGAAAAGTAAGTTGCTTAAATTTCAAAAGTCAGAGATATTCTAGTTGTCTTTTTTTTTCATTGTTTTCAGTTTAATTCAATAGTGGCCAGAGCCTATTCTCTATGTATTATTGATTAGTTGAAATCTATTTAGTGTGTACTTAAGAGTAATATGTATTTTATTATAAGAATTTATGCCTGTAAGTCCTTTGTTGTATTGTTCAAATCTCAATATACTCTTAAATTTTTTTGCTTGTTTGTTCTATCAGGTATGAAAGCAGTGAGTTAAAAATCTCTCCTACCCCTTTGGAATTATTTCTCTTTTTCTTCTGTCAACTTTTTCTCATCAATCAATCTATCAGCCATCTATCTTTAGTAACATATGTTATGTTATTGAGTGTATAAAAGCTGTAATTGTACAT